ATTCGCAAGCTTGGTTGACGCAATTTTGAAATTCGTTCCCGCATACATTTTGCATACATCGAAAATGATGGGGGAAAGTATAAATATTTACATTATTTTTATAAAAAAATTAGATAATCGTGAATATTAATAAATAAACATCTAATATTGGGGTCTTAAACTCGCGGCCAGCGAGCCATTTGTGACCAGCAAGACGATATTTTGCGGCCCACTACATGACAGAAAAGTTTAGTGATAATGCGCCGGCGCATTTTCCCATTCTCATATCTATAACGTGACTCTCCGCGACGGTTTCAGTCGAATCTCACAGACTAGTCTAATTCTGATTTTTTAAAAATGTTTCTATATATTTTTGTATGATGATTATAATGGTAGGAACCGTTTTAAAATCGGAATAATTTTTTTAAATTTTATAGCTTTTTATGAGACAAACATGGCAAAGAGTGCGGCTTTGAGAAAGGTTTTTTAAAGTAAGTTGGCGGGTAATGCACAACCATAATTGTGTCAATCGTAGCAATCTGATACATTATCAAAGGATCCATATTTAAATTGCCGCTAGTGTTTACGAGCCTGTCAGCTTGGTCACTTTCTAAATCATCTTCTTCTTATGACTTTTAACCCAGTCTGGGTCTCTACATTTTTTACACTTAAAAACACAGACAGGAACTTTTCAGCTTTTTGCTGACCCTTTCTCCTTTAATGTGCAAGATGTCCCACGCGAGGAGCTGAATGGAAAAAACAGACAAGCATTAAATTGCATTGCCCTCCTTCCCTGAAATTTTTAGGTTGCTCAAGTGGATCATACAACTTTTTGAGAGTTCATATCCGTGTGAATAGCTCTTTTCTACTATGCACTTTAACAAGTCAAAGTTCAGGGCCGAACTTACTAATGAGGATCTTCACGCTATACTGAGGGTCTCAGTTGTTTCCTCACTCAAGTCAAAGCTGCTCAGCTGTGTAAAAAGAAGCGCTGCCAGGTCTCAGGCAACAGTGAGTAGGTGGAATAAAGTGAATACTAGTTGTTGAGCACACTGGATGTTTTTATTGTTATTTATAAAGGTTGAGCAGCTTGTAACAGTTGTAATCGCTTTTTTGTGGAATACTTAATGCGGCCCAGTCTCACTCAGACACTGCATGTTCACACACGTTGTAGACTGAATGATCACACATATTGCAGGCTAAATGTTCACACATATTGTAGACTGAATGTTCACATATGTTGTAGACTGAATGTTCACACATATGTTGTAGACTGAATGTTCACATATGTTGTAGACTGAATGTTCACATATGTTGTAGACTGAATGTTCACATATGCTGTAGACTGAATGTTCACATATGTTGTAGACTGAATGTTCACATATGTTTTAGACTGAATGTTCACACATGTTGTAGACTAAATGTTCACACATGTTGTAGACTGAATGTTCACACATGTTGTAGACTGAATGTTCACACATGTTGTAGACTGAATGTTCACACATGTTGTAGACTGAATGTTCACACATGTTGTAGACTGAATGTTCACATATGTTGTAGACTGAATGTTCACACATGTTGTAGACTGAATGTTCACATATGTTGTAGACTGAATGTCCACATATGTTTTAGACTGAATGTTCACATATGTTGTAGACTGAATGTTCACATATGTTGTAGACTGAATGTTCACATATGTTGTAGACTGAATGTTCACATATGTTGTAGACTGAATGTTCACATATGTTGTAGACTGAATGTTCACATATGTTGTAGACTGAATGTTCACATATGTTGTAGACTGAATGTTCACATATGTTGTAGACTGAATGTTCACATATGTTGTAGACTGAATGTTCACATATGTTGTAGACTGAATGTTCACATATGTTGTAGACTGAATGTTCACATATGTTGTAGACTGAATGTTCACATATGTTGTAGACTGAACGTTCACATATGTTGTAGACTGAATGTTCACACATGTTGTAGGCTGAATGTTCACATATGTTGTAGGCTGAATGTTCACAAATGTTGTAGGCTAATTTTAGTACCTACTTTGTCCCTTGATATTGTAAATTTGTATTATTAGATTTGTCTGCCTCTCATTCCCCCCCCCACCCATTAGTTGACAAATGTGTAATTACTGTTCTTTATCCTGCCTCTAGTGCATGGAGGTCAGGGACTCTGCCCTCTTTAGGTCAGGACTCTGAACCCATGAGTCTAACTTCAAATAAATAATACAAGTTTTGATTTAAACCAAAAAAAAAATAGATTTGAGAATTTTGCAATATCTATGATTATTAAGTCAACAGAGGATGTTAAGTCATCTTTATGATTATGAGGTCACCATTGTGATTATCAAGTCATCATCAGTGTGGTACCTGGGTGTCTACCTAGATAGAAGACTAACCTTGGAAAGTCACATTAACATGCTATGCAAGGCGATTTTTCTGGAGCTGCGCAGGATTAGTCACATCAGGCCCTTCCTAACAATTGATGCAACAAAGAGGCTGATGTCTGCATTTGTGCTATCACGCATGGACTATTGCAATGCTCTCATGGTGGGTCTTCCAGCTACGCTCCTGGATAAAATTCAAATAGACTGAGAGAGTTGCATTGGCTGCCGGTGCGTGCTCGCATAGAGTACAAAATCGCAACTTTGTGCTACCGCTGCTTACATGACCTGGCGCCGTCCTATCTGAAAGAGCTGCTGACGCCTTATGTACCCACTAGACAACTCCGCTCATCCGATAGTGGCAAACTCTCGACACCACGTGTTTGCCTTGAGACTTACGGAAAGCGCACTTTCGCATTTGCTGGTCCAACAATTTGGAACGCCCTTCCACTCGATCTCAGAAACAACCAGACACTGGAGTCCTTTAAAACCAATTTAAAGACACATTTATTTCGCAAACACCTTCTGGGATGATTGTCTACCATATTTTCCAGTTAATGCATAATGGCTGTGTTGCTCCGGGTTGAAATGGCTAGAAAGACTTTGAGATTGTATGCTTGTAATTAGTTTTTGTAGTGTTGAGGTTTGTTTTAAATGTGGTAAATTATAGATTTGTTTTTTGTTTTGTTGCCTTTGTACCGCGCTTCGAGCCTTTGGGGATGAAGCGTGTTTTTGAAATGAACTTTATTTTTTATTATTATTATTATGATTGAGGTCACCATTATGATTATGAGGTCACCATTGTGATTAAGTCACCATTATGATTATGAGGTCACCATTGTGATTAAGCCACCATTATGATTATGAGGTCACCATTGAGATTAAGTCAACATTATGATTATGAGGTCACCATTGTGATTATTAAGTCATCCTTATGATTATTTAGTCTCCATTATGATTATGAGTCAGTCACCTATTAAGGAGTTGCAGGAGTATTTTTTTACCAAACAGATATTCAGTTTTAAGTCCTTGGCCTATGTTATAAATTATACTTTTCCCCATAATCTGAAAAAATATTTGAAGATTAAGTGTTCCAACACAAAATGTGTCCCTGTGCTCAGGTCTACCAATATTTTGGTTAATCATTTATCATTAAGTTTCCGCTCCACAATGTAAGCAGACAATGGCTGACGTCAGTGAAGAACGTTAGTGGCTGTGTTCAGCCAACATACTTGTTCATGCTCAGGGAAAAGAGTCCAGAAACCAATGCCCACACACGTTGAACCAAAGGAAGAAATTGCTAAACATAAAAATAAAAAAACCTGTGTTTCGCAGCTTTACATTAGCAGAGGATGTGTGTATAGTTGCTGACATGACGTACCACAATAAACTAAAAAATGAATGTTAGCTTTAACACAAACAATTGTTTCCTCGTAAGTTTCTAGATTAACAAAAGGGGAGATAATAGGGGGAGATAATAGGGGGAGATCATAATTTCTGCTGATTTTGCTAACCAAAAAAAAAATATATAAAAAAAAATGTTCCAATTAATCCCTAGTGGCTGATATTGATGACCACTGACTGTTGACCACTGATAGTGCCACACTGATCTATTACATTACAGGTCCCTGATCTAAAGCTGTTGATGGATCAGTCACTCCTGAGAAACATTCGGCTGCAACGGCACAAGACAGAGGTGATGTATCGCTCATCCCAGACCGAAAAAAATCGCATTCTGTTACACAACAACCCGCTGCCTGATGTGTCAGGGGAAGATAACTCATTGACAAATATCTGATCCCATGGGATGACAATGCCTCTGTAAGTCTGCCCGGGAGTGGAGATGCAATTGTGAATTTAAGTTGGGAAAAAGCTTATACAGGGTTTTCATTTCACGTGTTCTATTCTTTGACCTACTGCCCAAGGCCTTCTTGACCTACTGCACAAGGGCTTCCTGAAATGCTGCAAAAGAGCTCTCGGAATCATTTGTTTTAAGGTTCCTTAGCATGATATTAATTTTTTAGAATGGTATTAAATTGTCTTTTATAATTTTCCTGTTTTAAGATGGTCGTTTAAAAAAAAAAAATATTAAGTAGCTTTAATTCTATTGCAGTGTTAATATTTTTTTTAAAAATTACCTGTTTATTTATGTTTTTAATTTATCCGTTTCATGTATATATACACCATCTGAATGATCTAATTTTAAATAATTTAGGATGTAAGTGAGGCTTCCTATATGAGACGGATAACTGGCCCTGACTCGTCCAAGGGAAATAACATGAAAGCCATCGGCGATGTAGTGGAGAAAGAGAACACGGAGGAAGTAGTGCCATCCATTGAAACAAGGAAATAACCTCTTTCAGTGCTCAGTCTGGTCAGCTCAGATGCCAGCCAGAATTTACAGAATGTTTGGAGCTCCGCTGTGGCCCGGCAGCCACCCAGGAGAGAGCCCAGGTCAGTCATTGTTGAAGCGTTTAAAAAACTTTATCGCTTTAACACAAAAAAAAATGTATTCCAGCAACATTTTTAAGCATGAAATATTTCATACATCTAAATATACTGAATAATTTTAATTATCCATGCAGATTATGACATAATAAAGTACAACAGACAATACAACTAAATGTTTTCCTGCAGATATCATTTCTTGACGGAGAAAGAGTGCACCACTGAAGGGGCATTTCTCTCCAAATTGGATCTAGACAAAAACAAAACAGATTTCAGTCATACTCAAGTTGTTCCCCAACCACTGCATGGACGATTGCCCAGTACTGTGGGTTCACAGGAGTTCAGCCACATCAACAGACGTGAGTGTTGATTTTTTTTTTTTAAAGTACATTCTATCTATTTACAATATGGGAGTGATTAAATTGGATAACCAAGTCGCCAAGATGTATTTTTTATTGTCTGTAAGAGACTCGCACTAAATGAATGAAATACGATTTGGTGTAACTTTAAGAAATATTTAAAAAAAAATTTGACAGCATTTTAAAGATATTTAATTAATATTCTTTTGGGAATAAACTATCACAATAAATTTAAAAAACTGGACAAACATACATCGCCGCGTGTCTCAAATCACCCTTAAAGTCTGCATAAAGCCAGTTTAACTGTCTCAAGTCTCAACTGTTGAAACACACCTACAGTAGCTGAGTTTGAAAAGAAATAATTTTATTGATGATTTAAACCAACCAGAAAATTGGGGTGCTACAGAAAACATTTGTCTTTTGAGAATTACTTAATGTTTGATATTTTATTGTAATAAATTAATAAAATCTAATTTGCAGGAGGAACAAGATTATACCCAAAACACCAGAAAAATATTAACATTTGAATTTTGTTTTTTCTCCTATGCATTTCAAAGTATCAGAATCAACCATCAGTGGAAAAAAGTCAAGAAATATCAAACAACTTGAATCCCCCTGGCAACCCTTAAGCCTGAACGCCTTGCACCAATACAAGCAGCGGGTTGCTGCAGATGGGAATGTAGAGTTCCAGCAAGGGAGACCAATGATATAGACCTTAACCACTGCATCGGTGCAGTAACCTTGACTCCAGTGAGCAATCACTGGATACTTCCATGCGGTATGATTAAACAAATTTCCATAAGGAAATATGTAGGTAGTAGGTAAAGAGAGAAATGCAGGGGAAAAATAATAAGAAAAGATAAGATAAGTCAAGATTCTTTTATTGATCCAAATAAATGGAAATGTTTTTTGATTGCATTGTACATTTTCAGCAAAAAAATAAAACAATTTGAACACAAGACATTTATAATAAATAATACATTAAGATATAAATTATTGAATTTATCTGAATAAGTTTTAATGGAAAACATGCATCACTAGATTTCAATGAGTTGCTCGATTAGTTTTAACATTAATTTAACTATTTAACTGCAATCATTTACCTTTTCATTTATAAAGCTTTGTTTTAACTTATAAATTCTGACAGTGGTTTAATGGAAAATTTTGCCAATTTTCTTCTTCTTAATTGATTAATTTTTAATTTTTTATTTTTTTTAATTTACCATATAAAATATGAGGGTTGATTCTTTTAGAAATATTTATTGATCCTAGGTTTACTTTTATCATAGCATTGATGACTCTATGAAAGTTATTTTGTGTCACCATCTTCTAATTTTCTAAATGATGTACATTAAATAAAGCAAACATACAAAACAAATCAGTTTTTACAAAAAAATTATTAATTTTTTTTTTATTGATTTAAGAAGGAAAAAAAAGGGGGGGGATTTATTTAAGAAACTGTTAAATAGTAAATTGGTTGCATTACCCTTAAATAACCATAGCTGTAGTTATTTATGGTCACGTTTCTTATCTTGAAAGTTACTGGTGAAAATAACATTTGATGTGTGTTGTTTCAAATTTATGTCAACAATGTAAAGTATTTGTTCCTTAGATATTTTGGTAGCCAGACATTTCCATTCTTTTCTTTTTTTTTTCTTTTTAAAGAATAACTTCCTAAACTTTTAAAGCTAAATTTAAAAAACAAAATGTGTTTGATTGATGTTCATGAATTTCCTGTGCACCACCTTGTTATGACATTGTCTGTGATATGTACAAAACTACTCTCTTCTAAGATGTCAACAAAAATCCATGTCTTTGAGCACTTTGATGCACTTCTTAAGCTTATTTGATACATTTGTAGAAAATGTCAATTTCTTTCATTTTAGAAAGAAGGATATTCTAAGTTATAAAATATTTGTTTGAAAATCATAACCTCCAAATGCTTATTCTGTTCTTCACTTGCTTTAACAGATCAGAAAAATTGTGCTTCCATGAGGTGATGTTTCTCACTTGCAACCGGTAACTTCACTTAGGACAATGAATGATAGTTATCCATTTATTTGAATCCCCACTGAGACTTTTCTAACAACTGTTGACTTTCCCTGTCTTGTTAGCTTTTCTTGTGACCTTGAGGTCATCTTGCTCACATTCCTATGCCTATGCTGAATCAATTTGGCCTCATTAGTTTACATTCAAGTGTTTTTGTGGAACAGGTTTTTAAAAAAATAATTAATTAAAAGATCATTTGTGTGTCATTTAAATCACTGATAGTTTGTCTACAAATATTTCCAGTTTTGGGTGAGTTAGTTGAAAACGTTTATAAAATATTTACATGTGAAATATTTTCTTTAAAAAAATATTATCTCCCTGAAATCAGGATGGTGAGAAATGATATTTTTAATTCAAAATTTGTTGTTTATGAAATACCAGTATTTAAGTTTGACAGGAAGCGTCTTGTATTTGTGTTTAAATATTAAACTAGAAAGTCAAAAATAAATTTGATTATAAAATTAGTGGACATAATTTGATGGGGCAAATCAGACTGGAGGTCATAGATAAGAGCAAAAATCATAGTGTCAACATTAGTACATAATCAGATTTTAAGATTTAAACTGTAAGATTGACTCAATGGAACAAGAAGTAGGTACTTCTTCCCCCCATCACATAAATGTAATTTCTTGTGAAACTTCAACAAACATCATTATAATAATCACTATTTTTAAATGAAGAATTCTTGATCAGTGAATGATTAAAGACTATTTAGGAAATGAACAATGACATGAGCTTGAGTATTGTAAAAAATGTTCATCATGAAATTAGAATCAAATTTCAAGCAGAAATGTACAGCTATGTTCACATATTCTTTCAAACATGACTTGGGACCAACCTTTCTAGTTTAAACAAGGGATCTATTTAAATAACCATTTTCATATTAGTGTCATGTAGAAAAGAATATATTGAATTTAAACCAGAGTTTTAAACAAGCAAAAATAAAACCTAGTTTTTTAATCATAAAAATAAAATATTTGAGGCCATTGTAATTTATTTTACTTTGAGGTATCTAAACTTTTGACACTTTGCTAAATCAATTGTGAATTTCTGTTTAAGGTTAAAGTCCCTCCATCTGCCAAATAAATCACCATGTCTACCAACATGTTCATTCAATTCCACTAGCACCAGGAATCAGTGACTTCAATTTGGCAGCTTTAACTAAAAAGTCTGCCTCATGGACGGAATAAATTAAGTTGGTTTGTGTTTATTAAGAAAGTCTTATTTTATTGGTGTATATATGTTATAATTATATGTCTATATATATATAGAATGATATAGTAATAGAAAATATGAGTGCTAGTCTCCGTGTGTAGAGGTTACAAGGCCAGGGAATCAAACAATGGGAGCATTTTAAATACAAAAATATACGAGTCGATTTTAAGTTTCTTAGAGAGATACTGAATTATTTGAAAAATCCCTTTGAGTTTTAAACGTGTATTCTCTGGTGCATTTATAACACTTAAAGTGACAGTTTTCATTCAAATATCTAAATGATGACCGACATCTTTTCCAGGTTGACATTTAGCATCATCATAAACTTTTCATTCCTTAAAAAAACTAAAAAATATCCTGACTCAAGGAAAAGGAACAAAGTGTTTTCAGGAAGAGTAATAATAGTTTTTTTGTTTTTGATTTTTTTAAAAAGCCATTAAAAACTTGACTAGCAATAAATGATGGACTCTAGATATAAAATGAAATGAGCTGGGAACAGGAAAAGACCAGTCTTCTTAGAGAAAAAAATGGTTTTGCCTCTTAAACAAAGATGTTCCTTTTTTTTTTAAAATGATAATGAATGCGTTAAGATTTTAAAAGCATTACACAAATTTTAGGTAAGTTTGACTTGGAGGGGCTTGTATTTAAGTTTGACATGAAGGGGCTTGTATTTAAGTTTGACATGAAGGGGCTTGGATTTAAGTTTGACATGAATGGGTTTGTCTTTAAGTATGACATGAAGGTGCTTGTATTTAAGTTTGACAGGAAAGGACTTGTATTTAAGTTTGACAGGAAGGGGCTTGTATGGTTATACAGTGTGATAAGTAGGCCTAATTGTATACAGTACAGCACCTCAAGTTTTAAAATGACCTACAATGCAGAGATTTAAAAAAGAGATCATTTTATTAGTGTAACTAAATAGAAGAGAAACAAATCCATTTGCTTATCATAACTATGGAATGACAAGGAAATGGCATTGTGTAACTCTGCCCCCATTTGCTTATCACAGTTATTGAATAACAAGAACTAATGCATTGAGCAAGCAGCAAGCAGACCTTTTAAATGATTGAACAGGTGTGAGCTGTGTACAACATGTTTATAGACAGTGTATATTCGTCTAAGATAAAAAAAAAACTGTTGATGAATACATTTGTACCTGATAAAACAATAAATGGGGGCCCCCATTATATTTATAAATCATTATATCCCTCCCATTCTAACACTTTTATTTATTGATCAATCCAAAATGTCATAGTTTTTCTAATTTCATTATTTTCTTACTTTGTTGCATCCTGAAACGTTGTGGAAACTTTTTTAATATAGGCCTATAGCTTTAAACACAAAACATTATCTGCTGAAATTCATTCCAAAACATCTTTTATATTGAAGTCATGTTTGTTAAAAAAAATAAAAAAATCCATCTTCAGACCATGCCTTTATATTCTTTTGTCATTGACTTTTAGTAAATTTTGAACATAAAATTATGGTACAAATATTTATAAAATAATTCTATTTCAATAAAACTCAACATTTATTAGTTCCAACAAGACTTTGTTATCTATCACCTCTCCCATTACACAGAAGTCTGGGTTGAATCTGCGGTTTTCTTTTGATTGGAGAAATGCTAATCTTTCACTTTGACAGCTCCAAGTTTCACAATGTCGCTAAGTTAACTACTGGATATAATTTCTGGCGTACAACTCGGACCCCGTGAGGTGCACTGTTATTGTCAGAGACATAATGTAGAGTTTGCATATAACACCAATGTTCGGAGTGTATATTTTGTTATATTTGTTCTTGTAAGACATATACTTTCTGCTTATACTCGACTATTTTATCCAATTATTTTTAAGAAAGAAGACCATGAAAAAATTTGACACAAAGAAGACCATGAAACAATTTGACACAAAGAAGACCATGAAAAAATTTGACACACAGAAGACCATGAAACAATTTGACACAAAGAAGAGAAATGAAGCTTAGGGGCGAAAGAAACGAAGCTTAGGGGCGAAAGAAACGAAAGATGGAGGGAGGCTACAAAATGAGCCAAGCTCCTCGGGACTTTCTTTGGAATGCCTGGCTCAAGTAGTCTGACAGGTTCCACGGAGACTCGTAGGGTTACTCCTAGATTGTTGGAATCTGAAGTTGGATCGAGTACAAATGTGTCTAAATTTTGATCGAGTACAAATGTGTCTAAAGTTGGATCGGTAATAAATGTGTCTAAAGACATCTTGTAACAGCTAGAAAAAGATGAAATGGAGCTAGAAGATTGTCGATCACAGTTGACGACACTACTGTGATGGCTGGAAACGAAATGATCCGCCCACCCTCAAAAAAAAAAAAAAAAAAAAAAAGAAGGAGAAGGAGAAGCGAGAAAAGCAAGATGGCTGTGTATGTCAACCTGGTATGTGTATATGCATCTATGGCTGTGTATGTCAACCTGGTAGG